GATTGGCGCAAGAAGTAGAATGTGAAAGAAGAACACAAAGTGAGAAATGTCTTTAGAGAGAAGCTTCCAAAACCTCTTGTAAAATTAGCATCTTCTCTTTTTCTTTCAATTAATAAAGAATTTAGGCTTGTAAATTTTTAACTATGTGAACTTTATCCTCTTGTTATATGGGAGAGAGTTAAACAGATAGTCTTAAGCAAATTTATGTTTAAAATACCATTTTGTATTTAGAGGAATTAAAAATAACTCAGTGGAAAAAAAAATCAATGTATTAAGAATTACCTCCTGAATTTTTCTTTAACTCAAAGTTAAAAGTAAATTGTATATTTATTATAAACTAGAAATGATAAAAATTATACTTGATTTACTAATAAATTATAATGGAACCCTCTTGAAAGAGGAATTAATGTATATCAATATAGTACTTTTACTCAGTATTGTGTGTATTTATTTTGAAAAAAAAAAAAATAATGGTTGCGAACTATTTTAAAAAGACCTTGAACCGCTACAAGTGACTTTTAAAATCGGTTTTGACCTATTTTGTTAGGTTTTTATCAACCTACGGATTTTTATACTGATTTAAATTAAAGTCAATTTTATTGTTCAAATAGATTGAACACTGTATCAGTTCATCGTGTTTTTTTTTTTTAATTAGACCAACGTGTCTCATCCAATTCTTACTATACGTGTAACACCAGGTTTTGAATGCATTGCACTTACTAAAATATTTATATATTAATTGCAAATTTTGAAAAATTAGTCCATGTGAAAAGTCTCAAAATAATTACGAAAATGAAATTGCAATTTATAATTATTTCTAAATAACTCATACGTTTAAATGTAATGATTCAAAATTATATTATTAAAAATATTAAACAGAAAACACATTAGAAAGGAAGCGAGAAGAATTTCTGAGAATGGAATTTGAATATATATATATATATATATATATATATATATATATATATATATATATATATATATATATATATATATATTATCATTACCTCGATCGACACTTTTCGTTTTGGAAGGGTTCAGGAATATTTCTACTTCACTTTAAGTATCAATAAAAGTGTTAAAAATGATGAAGGTAATATGATAAATTATTATTTAAAATTTGACCATAATTTTGATAGGGTATATTGTGCACATGAAGTGAAGTAATAATATTCATATATGTAAGGAATAAACAAAGCTCGACCACATAAGAGGAAAGTATTATTCTCGAGTTTTTGAGTTCACAAATTGTGTATATTCAAGAGGATATATTTCTACGTATCCATTGGCCCCCTCAATTTTCTCCACTAACAAAAGCTCCATCCTTGGATTCTTGCCTCCTTGTATCCTCTTCCATGCATATAATCACACACACAATCACACTTCATTTTTAAAAATACTTTCTTTATATTTTACCAAATTAATACCCTATTTTCATTGTGTGTTTCTTGCCACAAATTTACATGAAATAAATTATTGGGTCTTTCAAAGTAGATTTATTAAGGAGAAATAACGTCAATGACACATGAGTTTAACATACACAAGATATTAACATCATTTTCAATCTAAAATTTTAAGATAATAGATTATCAGTCGTTCTTTTTTATATGTTGTTCAACTTTTTCATTCTTAATCAATGTGAAATTTAGATTCAAACTTAGATTACCCAATAATCTCTCTTTCAAATATGAATTCTTCTATATTGATATATCTGTTTGAGCTCATTAGTCCTTACATGTATCATCGTTATAACGGGATATACGTTTATTTTGATCCACTATTAAAAAGACTTTGAATATAAAGACCACTGATATATGTATGCACCAATCCTTCTTCCATATTACTTTCTTTAGCTGTTCAGGATATCTCTGATTGACCAATTTGTTGTAGTGCACACTGGGTCTCTTTTCCAGATTCTTCAATTTGTTAATGTGACAAATGTTCGAACTCATGCCACTGATACATCTCAAGAGAATATGCTCTTCATTCTTCAAAATGATGAAATTATGACTTGGGACAATTCCATTTTGCCTAATACCAGTTTAGTATAAGGACTAAATTATTATAAAAACCTAAGTTTTTATTATAGGGTGAATGCATTTAAAAATAAGTTTTCATTTTCATTCATTTAAAAAAATTTGTAATATTCCTTTCAAATTAATTATCACTTCTTCAAATATTATATAACATTAATTCACCAATATTACTTACTTACGTATTGAACAAAAGGTTATATGATTATTTCAAATGGCTCGTATTAATATTGTGATATAACTCACCACCTCAAAAACACTCTTAAGATTTATAAAATAAACCAAATTCATAGTTTTATAAAAAATGAAAAAAAAAAATCAAATTTTATAGGAATGGAAAATGAAGAAGAAATTTTGTAAAGACTAAAATCAAAACCTGTTAATTCACGTTAACTATATAATAAAGTAAGGTTTTATAAGTGTATGTTTTTTTTTTCAGAAAACAAATTTTGCTTACTTTTTATTTAAATGAGGATGCAATTTCACTGGCTCACAGTAATATATATATATATATATATATATATATATATATATATATATATATATTTACTAGTATTTTTTTCTTTTATTAAAAAAATAATTTATATATAATTAAAAAGGTACATGAATGGCCTCATATACATAGGGTTACATAACTCTAAGATAAAACCAAACCATTTTTAGAAAGAAAAAAAAACCCTTCTCTTTAAATGATAAAGATATAAATTTTATTAGACTAGGTCAAACGTTGAGGATATTAATGTGTTTTGGTTATTAACAAAAAAGTTATGACAAGCATTGTAAAATGCGTAATATTGTACTACTAGACATGCAAATCAACTTAGAATGAAGTTATTCGAGTTTAAGTTTAACAAAATATTGCCCTAATACCTAAACCCTTATCATAATATTCAAAATATAAACATTCTTGTTAACAATGCATGATTAAATATGAGTTTAATTTAGATGGAAATTATGAGGGTCATGTTAAAGAGAAAAAGAAACTATAGTTAATGTATTTGATTGCATAAATCCGTGCACGTTAATGAAATGAGTAATGAAAATGTGAAGTGTTTTGGTCATGAGTGGTTTTTCTTCTGCGAGACCTCGTTAATAATTAATAGGTTAGGATCGAATGATAAACCAATTGCATTAATAATTTTGTTAAAAAGTGAAATTAAATGGGAAAATCATTATAAGTAATATGAATTGTAAAATGAAGATATAACTAAAATAAAGGTATAGATTTAGGTTAACTTCGATGGTATTAAATTGTGCAGTGATTGAATTGAATGTTCATCATTTATTCAACTGGGGATGAAGGGAAAGTTTCCCTGCAAAAGTTAGATAAACTAACTGACACTGAGCAAAAACTTGAACTTTGGGAGGATTCAATGATATAATAGAGTGAAGAAGTCGTAATTAGTAGAAATCTAAACTTGGCTCCAAAATATCATTCTTTATTATTCAACAATATCAATCTGGATATAATTTATATGATCATATGCAGATTAAGTTTATCGTACCTGCTAAGTGAAGTATCTTTGTTATCCCTTAACAAAAAAATTTCTTTAACCAAAAACACAGTAGAATAAATTCATCACTGCTTTGACTTAGAGGATATGCATAGCCCCTCATGATTTTAGGTGTGTATATTTCATGTATTGATAGTTTACACTTGGAAAATACATGTTAATAGAATTATATAAGCTAGAAATGTTGCTAACAATTATAATTGAAAATAAGTTCATAACCAAGGATCACATTTGTTATTTTACATGAAATGACATCTCAGAAAAAAATTAACCTTTGAAGTACATTTAGTCTTATCCTTACAACAATTAAAATGTTAATTGATTCAATCAAGAAGCAGGCATATCCTATCTACAACAACTTTTCAATCTGTAATTCAATTATGAGTTTATGGTAAATACTCGAATAAAGGGTAATTTCGCATCAGTTATATGAATGGAACCAGAAAGTAGTGCAATCAGTCTGCAATATGATACAATTATATATAACAACAGAAGTGGGATTGATCATGAACACCCTTATGAACGATCAATATATATATATATATATATACATATACATATATATATATAGATAGATTATCAATTAAGGTTTCAACCGCGCATAGTTCTCATGCTAGACCTAGATTTGTAGGATGAAACTAGGAGGATGTCATCATAAGATACAAACAATATAGAAACTGGTTTGGTATCAAATAAGAAGTTTGAAGTAGAAGCTCTTACAATATAATTATTGTATAGGATAAATAGAGGACATATTGTGATTTCCACAACGGTTTGAGTGTAGAATATAACTAGGACTTGGATTAATTCTCTGGCATAGCTCGTTTGAGAACACAGAAATTGAAAATGCAATTATAGGGATCCCAATGAAATCCGATCTCATCACCTTTCTTTAGATCACGCCTTCTCACGAAGTCTTGGTTCCACTTTCCAATAAGAACATAGCTTTTGGATGAAGACCATCGCTTTAGAACGAGTTGGTGCATGGATTTGGTGTCCATGTCCCAAACTCTAACTGGGGTCCCTTCTTCAGTTTCTGCAGCTCTTGCATGATCTGCACCCAACATAGGCAAAATTTGTTTCTTCACCAAATCTGCAGCCAGCAAGAGTCTACTTAGGATTCCCAAATCACTATCAGTTAGAGTCTTCTTGATCTTCCATGGATCATCGTAAAGCTTCAATGTTGTTGAAACTCCCTTGTTCATCTCCTCTTCACTTTGGTTGCTGCAGAATCTTCTCCTTGATGTCCTATAGTTAGAAGCTTCACACAAGGTAGATTTCCTCTTCTTTTGACACTGCTCCCTTTCATCTCCAGGGTTGCTCATGTTGGAAGAGATGAATACTGTCAACTTTGTGTTATTTTGTGACTGTAAACTCATAAGGAAAGGTTGAAAGGGCTTTTATGTTTACACTACTGCATCACTTCCTACAGCATTTTTTTGGTATTTGTGAAATGGCAGTGAAGGCTCATTTCCTTTTTCTTTCAACATACAAATGGATTTCTCATCTTTGTCATAGCCAGTAGAAAGGCATTTCTCATTTTTATTTTCAAAAGCATGATTGGGATAAGAATATCCATGCCATACAACTTATTCTCATTTTTATTTTATTAATAACACTTTTTTTTTAAAATGACATCAAACTTTTTTAAATAACTAAATAAATTTCTCCTCTAATTTAACTAAACACCATACTTAATTTTTCATTTGTAAATACTCATTCATTCAATTAATTAATTAATTAATTAATTAATTAACCTCTGCTTGTAAAAAAAAAATGTAAATTGGGATTAGAATATAACTAGGGCTTTTGGGAAGAAAGAAAAGAATGAATAGAAACTGTGGACCATGAGCAAAACAATGGACCGCACTATAGAAGCAATGAGAACGTCAAATTTGATTTTCTCGCACTTGTAAAGTTATATATAGAATCTAAATACTTTTGAGTATGGTTCATCCATGTTCACACAAACAATTGAGTAATTCTATACATACAAAAATTCCCAAGACAAAAAAGCAAAATATTTTATTTATTTAGATATCTCTCAAATTTTTCTTTAAGAATATCATACCATTAATTTGTTAATAAATATTAGAAATATAAAAGTGTTTAACCTAAACCTAGTCTCAATTTACAAAATAAAATACCATATTAAAAACCAAGAAATACCCAATTCAATCTTACAATTTGTAAAGTAAAGTTTATCTTATATTGATTATAACTTTAATCGATACTTATAAATTTATATTCATTTGTTACATATATGCTAAATTCTTTTAATAATTTGAATAAATTGAAATGTAACTATATATCTACTTAGTTAGAAATGTCAAGTTTATTTTTTTAGTTTATAATTTTTTTAACTATATTATTGGATAGAGCATTCATTAATTTCACTAATAACTATTTTTTATAATAAAATGTGACTATTATTATCTCCACCTTATCATTTAACGAGTTGCAATATGACAAGTAGTAGTTGAGAATTCAAAGTTTGTTCCATTCCTTGTTTTTAAATAAAAAGATGCATTTCCACAATACAAAATGGTTAGAGGGACAACGACATTGTATATATGCATGTGAATACATAAAATAAATACTCTTCATTATTAAAAATAAAAATATATTTTACTAACTTGTCATATATTAAAAATTCTCAAAATCTTATCTATGAAGGCTATCTTTCTTTTAATTTAATAAATATAACGAGTTAAAATAGAATTTAAAAATAATAAATAAATTTTTCTCAAAAAAATTGTTTACACAACTATTATAAAAGAACATGTATAGAATTTTATTTATGTCAAGCTTTAAATTACTACAGAAATATATCTCTACATGAATTATCTTTAAAAATAACTAATTAAAAATAAATTTAAAATAATTATGTGCTGCTTGATAACAATTTTACATTGTGATTCAATTATATATCACTATACTTATATGATTTTTAACGTAATTATTATAAAAATTAATATATGTATATATCATCGTTAGTAATTCATGATTGAATATTATTAATATAATGACACATGGTTTTTTTTTCTCATTAAAAATATATGATAAAATTGATTAACAAGTTACAACTCAACGTGTAAGAAAACTAGAGTTGTTGATATATTTTTTATATAAGAAAAAGTTATTAAGATGAATAGAAGGAAACTTAAAACCTTATAATTACGAACCAAAGAAGTAAACATAGTGGGAAATAGAATTTGAAGGGCAACTATGCTCTTCTTCGTTGTCATAACCCCTGAATAAGACTTCACTTTAATAATAAGATCCTTGATGTTCACCATATCGACCTGTTGAAACAAAATTTAGCTGCGCATAAACCAGATTGACCACGTTATTGATTGCCAAAAAAATATGGCAGAAGTTCTTGACATAATAATGAATGGTGAGAGGTTGAGGGTTTCCTTTTGGTATATATTTCTTTCTTCTGCATTTGGGTTTGGATATGCTTGTATCTACCCTAATGATATTGACTTGTTGAAAAGAAAACAAAAAGGAAAAGTTCTTCAACTTCTGAGCTATAAGGATAGATCATGCTGGAAATAATGAGCCATTGAATCAGTAACCCCAACCCAGCATATACATAAAACCAATTTGTTGAGAAACCAAACAGGAGAAAAGTAATTGATTTACATCCTCATTTTCTTAAAGAACATGATACCTTGTTAATTTGTTTCTTATGTTGTTTCTACACAACAAAGTTTAAGCAAGCACAGGCCATGAAAAGACCAGTATTTTCAGTGGGACTTTCATTTATGAAACTGATTAAAACCCTCTGTGCTATTATTTTCACCCCACACGTTTGTTTTAACCTGGTTTAACAGAAACATATGGTTTTAAAACCTTAACTTCAAGATTGAAACCTGCAGTCCTATATTGTTTTGTAGGAAGTCTCAAACCCAGAAGTGATATCAGTGGATTCTGTGAAGAAAGAAGTCCCACATCCGTGGGAACTTCAATTGGGGGCTCTCCTCCTTCTTATAAAAGGAGCCCCTCCCCCCTTATTTCATACATCCCAAAATTTCTCCTTCTTTCTCTTTTACTTTCCTAGTATTGGTAATTTCCAATTGTAAAGGAAAGGGTAGTCATTATAAAATTTCCATTTTTGCCTATTGTCAGTGTTATTTTTCTAGTCTCTATTTTAGTTGTGTGTATTTGTGCTGGTACTCTGATCCTAACAGTGGTATCAGAGCTGCGTTCGAGTTCCGTTGCGCTAGTCACTAGAATAGTGTTGGTAAAATTCTGAGTATGCTCTGTGGTTGCAGTTTAATCCGATCTTCCACATCGAAAGGAGTTGTTACTGGAAAAGGTGTGGTAGTGTGAAACTGTTGTCTGGGAAAGTTCTGGCTAGGAAAGACTTGGTACTTAAGTGTGTCCATTAGTGACTCACCTCTCTTTCCTGGGAACTTACCTAGTGTATTGGTTCACTGGTCTACTACTATTGTTCCGATGAGACAATACTATTCATAAGTGAGAGTTGCATAAGTGGAAACACAACTATGGCAAGCAAAGTACGAGATAGAGAAGTTCAACTGGAACAATTTCTCGTTGTGGAAATTGAAGATGAAGGCAATCTTGAGAAAGGACAATTGCGCGAAGCAATCGAGGGAAAACCTGCGTAAATGACTGGATAAAGATTGGAAGAAAATTGACGGCAACGCTATTGCAAATTTACACTTGGCAATGGCGGACTCAGCTCTATCCAAGTGTTGCGGAGAAAGATTCTCGCAAAGGAGATTTGGGATGCCCTCATTAAATTATATGAGGTGAAGTCACTTCACACAAGGATATTCCTGAAGAGGAAACTCTATACTCTTCTGGATGAGTGAGTCCACATCGGTGACTGGACCACATCAACCAACCGAACACCTTGTTTGCCCAATTAGCAGCAGCAAATTTCAACATAGTTGAGAATGAGCGTGCGGAGCTCTTACTTCGAGCTTGCCGGACTCGTATGATCAACTCATCATCAACATTACAAATAATAATATTGAAGGACAACTACACTTTGACGATGTTGCCGGAGCTATTCTAGAAGAAGAATCCAGGCGAATGAATAAGGTAGAAAGTTCTAAACAAGCGTAAGTTTTGACGATGATGAGAGGAAGATCAACTGAACGTGGCTCAAGTGGGAGTCAAGATCATGGCAGATCGAGCTCTCGAAACAAGAAGACTTTCAAATTTAAATGCTACTACTCGTGGCAAGAAAGGGCACACGAAGAAAGAGTGTTGGAAGAGGAAGAATGAAGAATCAACCTCACAAGGTTGCATTGCGAGTACTTCGAGAGGAAGGAGTAATTCGGTAAGCGAAGCAACGAATCGCCTCTAATGGCGGAAACGAATTTCATGACAAGTGGATAATGGATTCAGGTGCAACTTGGCATATGACCCCACACCGAGATTGGTTTCAAACCTACAAGCCTATCTCGGGTGGATCCGTGTTCATGGGAAATGACCATGCATTGGAGATTGCTCGGAGTTGGTACTGTCAAATTAAAAATGTATGACTGGTACTATTCGCACAATCCAAGAAGTACGACATGTGAAGGACTTGAAGAAAAATATATTGTCTATAGGGCAATTGGATGACCTCTACTGCAAGATCCATGTTGAAGGAGGAATCTTAAAGGTAGTGAGGGGAAACATAGTTGTCATGAAAGCAGAGAAAATCATGGCAAACTTGTATGTGCTTATGGGAGACACCTTGCAAGAAAATCATGCAACAACTGCGTCGACAAGCCAAGAAGAAGCGGCGATAACGTGGCACCGTAGACTTGGACATATGTCGAGCGAGGTCTGCAGATTCTTGCGGAACGTGATCTCATACCCGGGCTCAAGAAGGTCGATTTACCCTTCCGTGAGCATTGTGTGACAAGCAAACAACACAGGTTGAAGTTTGCAAGAACCACCACAAGGAGTAAGCAAACTTTGGACTTGATCCATTCCGATGTCCGGGAATCACCTGAATTATCTCTCGGAGGAGCAAAATATTTTGTGTCGTTCATCGATGACTACTCGAGGAGATTATGGGTATACCCTATCAAGAAGAAGTCCGAAGTATTTGCGCGGTTCAAAGACTTCAAAGCACAAGTAGAACTTGAGACCGGAAGGAGAATCAAGTGTTTGAGGACGGACAATGGAGGAGAATATGTAGATGGAGATTTTCTAGCATTCTCGCAAGCAAGAAGGAATTGTGAGACAATTTTCTGTTCCACACACGCCTCGCAGAATGGTGTAGCAGAGCGGATGAATAGAACTCTTCTAGAGAGAACCGGAGCTATGCCGCAAACCGCATGCATAACAAAGTCTTTCCGGGCGTAAGCCGTGAATACCGCTCGTTACTTGATAAATCGGTCTCCATCAACAAGCAATTGGGTTGAAAACTCCTATGGAAATGTGGAGTGGAAAATCAACCGATTATTCTTCCTTACATGTGTTTGGTTGTCCCGCGTACGTGATGTACAACACCCAAGAAAGGACGAAGTTGGATCCAAAATCCAGGAAATGCATCTTCTTGGGATATGCCGACAATGTGAAGGGGTATCGCTTGTGGGATCCCACTGCCCACAAAGTTATTGTTAGCAGAGATGTCGTCTTTGCGTAAAATGAACCGCAAAGCAAGCGGATAAATGACGACTCGGAAAAGGACAAGACTATAGTACAGATAGAGAAGAAGACTTCGGAACATTCATCCGAGTCGAGGAGGAGCATGAAGAACATGAGCCAAATGAGGTGGAAGAAGGAGAACTCCGACGATCAACAAGAGAAAGAGTCGACCATCTTGGCATTCACAATATGTGATGACAAGTCATGATGCGTATTGTCTCCTAAGTGAAGAAGGAGAACCTTCAACTTTTCAAGAGGCCGTGAGTGGTTCGAAGCTCCTCTATGGATGGCTGCTATGGAAGAAGAAATTGAAGCTCTTCATAAAAACAAGACATGGCATCTTGTGGAACTTCCAAAAGGTCGCAGAGCCATTGGTTGCAAATGGGTCTATAAGATCAAGAGAGATGCCAATGATCAAGTAGAAAGATATCGTGCTAGACTCGGTGGTAAAAGGATATGCTCGTAAAGAAGGCATTGATTTCAACGAGATATTCTCACCAGTTGTTAGATTGACAACAATCGAATTGTCCTGGCGATGTGTGTCGCATTTGATTTACATCTTGAGCAATTGGATGTAAAAACCGCTTTTCTTCATGGAGAACTTGAAGAGGAAATATATATGCTCCAACCGAAGGCTTCAAAGAGCAAGAAAACTTGGTTTGCGGGTTGAACAAATCTCTATACTGGTCTAAAGCAGCGCCAAGGTGTTGGTATAAGAGATTTGATTCCTTCATTATTAGCCTCGGATACTACGGACTAAGTTCGGACCATTGTACTTACCACAATAGGTTTGAAGAAAATGATTTTATCATATTGCTCGTTGTATGTGGATGACATGTTGGTGGTAGGCCCTAACAAAGCTCGAATCCAAGAATTGAAGGCACAATTGGCTAGGGAGTTTGATATGAAGGACTTGGGACCAAGCAAACAAGATTTTAGGGATGCAAATTCACCGAGACGTAAAAGATAGGAAGATTTGGCTTTCTCAAAAGAATTATTTACTTAAGATCTTGCGGCGCTTCAACATGCAAGATTGCAAGCCAATTTCTACCCCACTTCCCGTCAACCGTAAGTTATCCTCAAGTATGAGTCCTAGCAATGAAGCGGAGAGGATCGAAATGTCTCGAGTACCGTATGCATCAACGAGTGGGAAGTCTTATGTATGCCATGATTTGTACAAGACCGGACATTGCACAAGCAGTGGGAGTGGTTAGTAGATTCATGGGGAATCCTGGTGGAGAGCATTGGCAAAATGTGAAGAGGATCCTTAGGTATATAAAAGGAACCTCAAATGTTGCATTATGTTATGGAGGATCGAAGCGGTTGTCGGAGGCTATGTAGATTCGGATTTTGCAGTGATCTGGATAAAAGGAAGTCTACTACTCGGTTATGTGTTTACCATCAATGGAGGGGCGATAAGTTGGTTATCCAAGTTACAAGATGTGGTAGCTCTGTCTACTACGTAAGTCGAATACATGGTCGTCACCCAAGCATGTAAAGAAGCTATCTGGATTAAAAGAATAATGGGGGAACTTGGTCACAAGCAACAACAAATTGTTGTGTACTCGTGATAGTCAAAGTGCCTTACACATTGCAAGAAATCCAACCTTTCATTCAAGGACAAAACACATAGGAATAAGATATCATTTTGTTCGAGAAGTAGTAGAAGAAGGAAGTGTAGATTTACAGAAGATCCACACCGAGAAGAACCTAGCGGATGTAATGACAAAGCCTAGGTTAATCGTCGACAAGTTTATATGGAGTCGATCCTCTATGGCCTATCGAAGTATAAGCAACATGGATGTGAGAGAAGAAGACATAGTGTGAAGATTTGATTAATTTCATCAAAATCTTCAAGTGGGAGATTGTGAAGAAAGAAGTCCCACATCCGTGGGAACTTCAATTGGGGGCTCTCCTCCTTCTTATAAAAGGAGCCCCTC